GACCTTTGAGCTATCGATGCACATACATATTTAAAAAAAATAAAAAAGGTAAATACCGGTCGAATATATAACCTCATCCTTTTTGGAAGTCGATTAATAAAATCCATGTACTCGGCTGAAAATAAATAAAAGTAATAATTAGGTAAACTTTGGCTTAATTACATATCATAACTACAAGATTTAAAAGTATAAGTATATAATTAGAATTTTTTTAAATAACTTCAGTGTAATAATGGCTGTTACAATTAATTTATATTAATATATTTTAATTTTTTTAAATAAAGATCAGGATATAGCACAATCACATTACGTTGATTCTTCCGTACTTAAATATATGCACCATTTTTAATATAACTGTCGTTCATTATTAAATATTTTATAGTATATACGTATATATATATATATATATATATATATATATATATATATATATATATATATAGTGATTAAAAAGTAACTGGAAACTAAAGGCTAAGCGTTATGTAATACGTACTAACTTCGTAATAATAAATAAATATATGTAAAGTGTAGCTCTATCAATGAATATTGAACAGTAAATCTTCATCTTAGACTAAAGAATTATATAGACAGAGTCCGCCAAAAAAAATGTCAAAATAGAACCGTTATTTTCCTGTTTATGCTACTATTTCCAATTTTGCCATGGAGCTTGTTTCATTTCTTCAAATGATTAGAGAAATTACTTTAACTTACAATTTTTTAAAAGAAAATATAAATAATAAAAATAATAAACGTAAAACTATATTATTTTGTATTTTAATCATTAGCTACATTTGTTAAGGAAAGATATTTTTGATTTTTATGCAATAAAATCCGTTAGCTATTTTTATTTGATAATATTTATTTATTTATAAAAGTAAAGAATATATTGTAGGTATTAATGATTATTTGCTACTTTAATTTTTTTATTGTGCATAAAAACTTTTATATTTTTATAATTAATTCATAAAATCTTAGGATAAGCAAAAAGATAATAAATTCAAAGATTGAATAATTTAATTTATAAAATCCATTAAAAATTATTTTTCTAAATAAAAATTTTCAACACTCGGTAACTCTACTTACAAGTACGAGCATGTCATACACTGACATTTTTGTTTGGCTACATGTTTAGTTCTATGATACTCCGTCTATATTATTCCGTAATGTGAGATTTTGATTTAGTTTATGTTTTAATACCCTTCAAAACTCATCATGCCCCTATTGTAATGATTCCCAGTTTTTTAAATGTATAATTTTTATTCTATCTACATACTTGCGCAATAATAAAATCGAACTTTAATATTTAAACTTGATTTGTAAATATTTAATATGCCAGTTTATGAATGACCCGATTGTATTAAATGAAAATATTTTAAAACCGCACAGAGCTATTACTGTTTGTTATATTACTTAGTATGCCTACTATTTATCATGAAATATACTTTTATGTTCCTACTACCTTTAAACTTTACCTATAAAATAGATAGATAGATAGATGCTTTATTGTACACCACAAATAAATATACAAAAAGAAGATATAAACAATATATGATGCACAGCAGGCGGCCTTATCGCTATAAGCGATCACTTCCAGGCAACCTTAGGGCGTAGGAGAAATTATATGAAATGGTAGGCGGTGTACTTACTACACACAATTGCATATTCTAAATACAGATATACATAAATACATACATACATACATATATACAAACATACATTCATACACACACATACATACATACATACATAATACATACATACATACATACATACATACATACATACATATATACATACATACATAAATGCATAAATACAATGCATACATACATATATGATTTTAACTGTCCCTTAAAATTATCAAAACTTTTGGCACGCCTGATGTCTATTGGAAGATTATTCCATAAGCGTGCAGTCTTTACTGCGAAGGAGTTGGTAAGGAAACAGGAGGAGTGAGAAGGAATTTTAAGCAATAACGTTTCACTAGAGCGAAGTGGAAGAGTATGGGTATCACTCAAAAACTGGAATCGCTCTCTAAGGTAGAAAGGAGAAGAAGGGTAGAACAGCACGCAGTAGAGAAGATGAAGTACATGAGTATTCCTGCGAAGGCGGATTGGGAGCCACTTGAGCTTTTTGCGAAATTCTAAAACATGGTCATATTTACGAAGGCCAAATATAAACCGAATACAAAGATTTTGAAGCCGCTCAAGTCTATTTAGATGCTCCTCTTTAACGTCAAGATAGCAAGTATCAGCGTAATCAAGAATTGGTAGAAGGAGTGAATTTGCTAGTGCAATTTTGGTTGATATGGGCAAAAAATTTCGCAACCTCCGAAGAGCGGAAACTGCACCAAACATCTTTCGGCTCAGTTCACTTACCTGTGGTGCCCAAGATAAATATTGGTCAAAAATGATCCCCAGGTTCTATATATATAAATATAAATATAAAATATTATTTGTTACAATTTGTACAAAAAGCCATAATGCCTTTATAAATAAGTAAGTATAAGAGTAAGATAAATGTAAGTAGAGTAATAAGTATAAGTTCACGAGTTTTTATTTATGGATTTGTAATCAATTACAAAATTTGTATCATATAATAGAATAAAATATCGCAAAACCGTTAATTCTTTGTGCTTAAAGTTTTAACTATCCACACATTTCTACCTTTATTTTAACCAAATAGTTACGTAATAAATAATAATAACACCAAAGATCAAAACTAGATTTATAAATATTTGATATGACAGTTTATGAATGATCCACTTTATTAAAGATAAATTTAAAAAAACTGCACTGAGCTGTCACTAAATTAATGAAAGAATACAAGTATCGACTGTCGGCATGAATATTTTAACCCAATAAAGTGACTATTTTGTATAAAAAATAAAAAATACTGACTTTACGCCTTTGTGAGACAATTTGTGTTTAAAATAAACATAAACCAAAAATTAATGAACATATCTCAAAGTATAGTAAGATGCAAATGTACATATATTATAATATGTATAGTTAAACTTCTTAAATATCCGTAAAATAAAGAAATCTGCAGAAGTTTTTGTTTAAAAAAATACCAACATCAAAGCTTATTCAGATAAAAATCGATGAATATATTTTAGAAAATATTAAATATTCGTTTCTAACATTCCGAACTCTTTATAAAATTTATAAATATAAATTTTACTATTTTCAGCCTTCTCGCACCTCTATCCGCACTATAATAACATAGTTAACTTTTATTAAATAATATTTACTATTAATAAGGTATTTATATTTTTTCACTAAAAATACAAATACGTATTGTAACTCATAAAGCAAATATAAGTATAGTCGTAACAAGACAGCTCCGGTATAGCGTGATTAATTTTTTAAGACCGTAAAGACAAAGCTTAGTACCCTTTAAACGTGAAATGTACTCACTAAACCAAAATCATACCTACTTTATACTTACAGAACATTACATTTTTTCTAAGCAAAATTAAATGTATACGAATTTAAGTGTTTTTGTAATATATAGTATATATCGTAAGTATGACATTATCGTAGATAAGATTCGTTTTATTAACAGCCTAAACAAAAAACATTTTTTTTAAATAGTTGTACTTAATGCTTAGTGAAATAAAACGTAGCACTTACTATAAATCTCTATCTAAATTGTTTCAGAAATATAGAGGAAATATGAACGTACTAACGAAATTATAATCGTATCTACACAAAAACCACATCAATGCATAGTGTTACGTTAAAATAAACAAAATATTTTTCACAGCTCTCGTTGATCTCTAAAGCCGCTGAAAACTCCTGTGAAAATCCTGAAATAAAAACCATGTTAAGTACAATTCCATCTACCGGGCTCTCAGTGATTTAAAATATAATTGAATTTCGTTTACTGATACGCGGCAAACTAAATACTTTATCTAAACTATGAAAAAAATACAAAACAAAATCTATAACTTTATTATATTTTTCCATAAACATTTTTTATTTTTAAACAGTTTTTCAAAAAGGCATAAAATAGATGAAAATATTTAGTTAAAATATTATAAAATATATCTAAACATTCTAAAATTTGAATAAGAACGGATAAAGGAATGTAGACATGTAATGTGTAGATGCGCTACGTTAGCGAGTCTACGGCGCGTCGTAGCCGCCCGCCGTCGGCAAGGAGAACGCGGCGTCATAAAAAAGATTTCAACGACATGGTTGACGCACGAAAATCAATTATATATTTTTTTATGCTTAGTTTTAACTAATGTTTTAATAATATTATGAAAATAAACTATTAGTCAAACGTTAAGGGATAATTGACAAATGTTTATAATACAACTTTAGTGAATTTTAATTAAAATATTTAAAAACAATGTTTAATAAAGGCAACACAATTTATAATCTTTGAATAATATTTGTATATTTGAAAAATAATTGAAATACAAATATAAAGGAGTTGAATGGGTGTTACTCGAGGAGTACAAGGAAACGATATATGTACAGTGCATGAAAAATGCGTTGCCGACGGGGTATTATTGTGTAATAAATTTCCAACAAAATAGTTAATGTTATATTTGAAAACAATAATAATAATAGTTGAAATAATACTACTCTTAGTTAAAAATTAATAATCACTTCGTGCTAAAAGTTTTTTTAATTATTTTTATAGCAATTAATGATTAATTCAAAATTATATTAAATCTTTAAATGCTATCGGTCAATTATGAGATTAATAATATTTTATATTATATTTACATTAATAGTATTTTATAAACACTGAGAGCCTTGTATTTGGATAAAGTAAATTCGCTAAGACAATTAAAACAAATTTAATGGAGCTCCATATCAATCGCTAAAGCAAGCCAGCAATAAACAACAACAATATTGACGCAAAGCGAAGGTTAAAGTATCCTGAAAAAGAAGTACTGTGTTGTGTAAGATAGCGTCAACGCTGATAACAGTATTTCCTAAAGATAATGTTAGTAAGGTGGTGTTTGTAAGTAAGATACTCACTGACGGGTTAGGCACGCAGCGCCGGGGGTCGCTGCTTCGGTACGTGGGGCTGTACCGGCCTGGAAAGCAGCCCGGGGGTGCCATCAGCCCTCCACCGGACTTCATCTTGTCCGGAGAGTACATGGCACATGACCCCCACGGGTCGTCCTCCAACTTCAACACCTTGGAAGGTGAGTGATACTGCCGGTCGAAAATTTTGGCGACTTTATCGTACTTCGGGGGTAAAAAGGCGACGCGTCGCCGCGACCGGTCCGTGCGCCGGGTGATAACCGACTGAATCGGGTGCCGTGTGACGTCACCGGCCACGCCCTCTCCCCTCCACTGACCCCTCCTTCGACAACACCTCGTCCCTCGCACGCATGTTTACGTCGCCGCCGGCGGCTCCACGATTAACTGAATTATTTAATTGGTCCATTCACTTCTCGTGTCTGTTACCTTTTCACGCTTCTAACTCGGAAAGGTTGACGGATTGCCCGTGACGCGATTGGCACAATCCTAATTAACCCTCGATCTATATCAAACTAACAAACGCATTGCAAAATAACAATCCAATTTCTTTCTACATGTCAATTATGAATAGTTTAATGGAGCCAATAAAATCTCATATTTTCAAATTAATCATTAAAAGTATTTTATACTGACAAGTACAGTCACCCCATTCTGAAAAATAAATTATTTCATAAGTAAAACAAAATATTACAGGATTTATTATTTACATTACTAAGGATAATCCTTTTTTAATGATGTTATGAATGTACAGAACATAATATGGCTTATATGATATTATTCAATTAATTTTGAGTAGATAATTACTAACAAACTTTGAAGAAATATAGTTAACGTGACAGTGATCGCCTTGAGCAATATGATAAATATAAATAAAGTAAGCTATTGACCAAATACACGTTTACTAATCGGGCCTAAAGTAGCTATGTTTATTACAGATGAATTTTTTATTTACTTCATAACGCAATGAACTTTATCGTATTTACGTTTCAATTATAGTATTACTTGTGACATCTTAGTGTCATATAATTATAAGATCTATTTAACTCGTCAATCTATATATAAACAATATTTAATAAATTATAGCATTTTATATTAAACTAGCGACTTACTCTTACTCAGGTTCCCTAGGTACGTTTTAACGGTTAGTACCTATGATATAGATGGAATATATATTACATGAATATAGCTTACAGCCTTCCTCAATAAACGGCATATCTAATGCAAAAAGATTTTTTCTAATTGATTAGCAGTTCCTGAGATTAGCGCGTTTAAACAAACAAACAAACAAACAAACGGACAGACAGACAGATAGACGGACGGACGGGACGGATTGACAGACAGACAGACAGACAGAGATGACAGACAGACAGACAGAAAGGCAGATAGACATACATACAAACAAACAAACATATTACGTAAGCCTCTTTATAATATTAGTATAGATATTAACTACGAATACTTATACTGAATTTAACGCGGATTTAAATCAAATTTCTCAAAATATTGTCAACCGAAATTATATATTTAATATTAATAAAAGAATAAGGTTTTGTTTCATATGTATTATTTGTTAATCCAAAAATAAAATTCTCTACCACGTAAACGTCCAGTCCAGTAAATTCAAGTAACAAAAAGAACTTCGGATAAGTATTTCTCCTAATTTACTTCCTTGAATGTATATTAGAAGAAATACTTTTCATCTGGTAAGCAGATGTGTGAAGGATGATCTCACTGCTAATGTTGGCGATATTTATCAAGTGATTAATCGATCACTATTTACAAATCTTATTCATAATCTTCTCTTCTCTTATATTTAAAACAGTACTTATTTCTGTTATTATATTATATATACCTTATCATCACCGTAGTTATATCTGTTATAACTACACTAACATGGAAGTGTATTTAAAAAGGAAGATCTCTTTATTTCCAACTCATAAAGCTGACATGATAAGTAATACAATCACGGTCCATTATTATTCATACACACAATTAGTAATCGAAACAAAAGTAGAATTTAAAAGGGTTTTTAGGCGCGGTCCACCGGGAACGGTATCCGGGTCCGGACAGCCTGGCAGGGAGTGCATATCGAGTGCGGACGATGATATGGCGCGTAATTAGCGCAGATCATAACCCAGCGCCGTCGGATACATGTCAAAACAAGAGTAACCCCGCAACCCTTCGCGTAATTACTCGCCCGGCCGGCAGATGGCGGGAGTTTAATTTTTCGATTTCGGACGCCCATACATTATGCATGACGCTTTTATCGCTCGCCGTGGTTCCTTCGGGAGTTTATTATACGAGGTACAAGTTGAAGGTACCAGCGATTCCTTTTAACTGGTTACTTTAATGTTTATTATTTCAACAAAATAGCTTTTATATATGTAGTAAAATTCATTATTATTATTCTTGTAAGTATTCATAAAAAGTTACCTAGCGACACGATATTCAAAATGACATTCATATAATCAAACAGCAAATATATAAAATACTAGCAGTACCCGCGGCTTCACCCGCGTTCAAATTACTAAAAAAAACAAACTCTTTGACACTCCGACTGCAGTGTCACCATGGGTCCATTTGTGAATTTAAACCTTGCAGGGACCCACTCAAGCGTACACCAAAAATATCATTAAAATCGTCCATGCCGTTTAGAGAAGATCAGTGACATACTAACAGGAGCGCCACCTACCGGGTCAAATTGTGTTTTCAAACCATCCAGGAGCTCATTGAAATATACACACAAAATTTCATCCAATTCGGTCTAGCCCTTTAGGAGGTGTAAGGTGACAAATACACGTACAGAAGAATTATATATATTAATAACATTATAATAATATTATATTGTTTTAATAAAACAATACTTACGTTTTTCCTCTAGAATGGTACTTTATACTCGCTCTGAGTTAATAGCATAGACAACACTACAATCGCATACCCTTTTTTAGGGTCTCGCATATCGGAGCGAAACCACTACTGGGTATAGACTGACTGCGCGAAATACGGTTTACAGCCGCGTTTCCTCCGACTAGCGTATGCATTCTCAATTAACCCGATACTGTTGTAAAACCACTATAAATCTTCTAAAATAAATCAAATAATTATAATTTAATCATTTTTTGACACTTCTTTTTTCTGAAAGTTATTCTATGGGCATTATAAATAATAATCACTGTAAATTATTATAAAATCAAATAATGACGTCAAAATGATGAAATTGAAATGTTTCAGACTGAATGATTGATCATTTAGTAGGATTTTTTAAACATAATGAAAATCAACTTAAAAACTAATTTTAATGTAAAATTTTATGTCACATCATTTATGCAAGCAAATAATAAATTCAGCCTCATAAGCCCAAGACTACGGCAAGTTAAACGAAATAGCCAATAAGTACCTATGCGTAAAACCAGCTACTCAACCTAAGAATACATATAAGAATCCACGATATAAATATATACGAGTGAAACGCTGAACAACAAGGAATAGTAGGACGTTTATATAGAGGGCCGAAGCTTCCGGCGGATGTGGCCCCTCCCCCGGAAGCGCCCGAGCCTTCCGCACGCACCGATACCATCTGCAAACAAAATTTGCCTACTATTACAATTAAAAGGTAGAATCATTCTTGATTTATTTCATATATTTATTTATGTTTTTAATATTTACACATACATACATATATTAGGAGAGATTATTTATTTATCGTTTAGGCATATAGTTAAATCGTAATGAGATTACAGTTATATTTTATTATAATGAATATAATAGTGAATATGCGTGTTTTTTCTTATACAATTCCAAAAAAACTAAAATTTAGTATAATAGTTTTTTTTCATATTACACGGATACTTGAAAGCCGCCATTTCGCGCGCTTAGCATGACGTCCCAGTATGATATACACAGAAAAATGACGACGGATTTTGTAGCAACAAAATCTCTAATCACTCTGTTATGATAGTACTTTGACGTCATATTCGATCTGACCAGTGGAGTGCGTTTCAACTACTTTGAATTTCCCACTTATATTTGCACTTTCTAACAATTATTTTGTTAATCAAAAAGAAATTATATTAAAAAGTATTGATATAGGCTTAATTCAAAAATATAAAGATTATAAAAAAATATATTTCATCTTTATTTAAATCAAACGCATATTCCCTATTATAAACAGTAGTGACCAAGAAACATAACTAATTTAGTAAAAATAACTTCTATATAGTTTTTAACTTTACGTTTAAACATTGGAATTGACCTATTGCTAGGTATTTCTTTAGGCAAATTCTTGAATAAAACTTCTTTAGGAAAAGCCTTGGAGAAATGAGTGTCGCGAAAATATTCAAATAGGATGTAGCAGGAATATTCAAAAAATAATAATTATGAAAATAAATATATAGCAATAAATAAGTATTAGTATTTAATATTATTAAAAGTGAGGTGATAAATTATAATACATATTTAGAATAATTAATATTTATTGTTAACTGACGACTTACCCTCGCTTCGCTACGTACGTTTTAACGTTTAGTATAGATTTCTCAGAGATGAGATATTTTCCCACAGTAAAATGTATCCTTTATGATGACCCGGATTACCAGCTATCATCGTACCAAATTTCATCAAAATCCCTACAGTGGTTTTTCCGTGATGCGGTAACAGGCAGACAGATAAACAGACAGACAAAAATTCCAAAAACTATAGATTCGGCCTCAGTATCCAGAATAATGTCTATTTCAATAAGATTTCGCAAAAAATATTTAATGTACAGATTCGGCTTAGTTACAATTTTATTATATGTATTAATTTTATAAAAAATATTATTGATAAAAATAAATATTTATTATAAGTAATTTCGTAAAAAATATTATTAATATAAATAAATTTTAATATTTTCTTTAATATTATCATTTATCAAATAACAATTTATTAATAATGTCATGATTTTCATGAGCACTTATAAAAATTATTATATTTATATGTATTTTGATGTTTTAATTTAATCTAAAATCTGCCACAACGCCAAAGAAGTTTTACTTCAACCGCGCGTAAAGGTTACACACACTATTTTTTATTATATACTAGTAGTTTGCTTGCCCCTTTAAATTCAATAGATTTTATTTCATATTTATAAGTAGTTTGTACTTATTACTTGTGTTGTATTTATATGATTTTGCTTTATATGTGATTTGTATATATCTCGTATCTTTTGTGAGAATTTTTCTTTGTTAGAAACAAGTATTTGTTAGAAATTTTTTTCTAAAATGACACGTTCTAAATTTATATATTGTTTTATAGAAAATACTTTGGTGATGTTATAAAGTTTTTATTGACGTAAACTAAATAACGTTTTAAGAAATCAGTTTTGTGATATTTGTAGATATTTTTATATATATATATATATATATATAT